GATAGCACTTGAAAAAAGCTACTGGCATTAGATAAAAGGCAGCTTTGCTAATGAAAACTGTCAAATGTCACTGAAGAATAAACACAAATCATAGTCAGAATCTACTTTCTGGGAGAAAGCAGATGCAGAATCAAGTTCAACATCTTCACCAACATAAGTTGTCACCCTTCTTCAAAAAAATCATCTAATAAGGAAAACACAAAAGTGCCTAATTGGTAAGTAAGAAGAACAAACAGTACTAGCAGCACCACAGGAGGTAGATTTGTTTTGACAGCAACAGATACAGAATCTAAAATTCTAAACAGTACTAGTAAAAATACTTAAACAATTTGTGTCAGTTTCATGGGTCCCTTGATTTATCACCACACTGCAAAGGGAATAGGGAAATACTATATATTTCTTAACACCAATGAATTTCTAGGTAATTAATTGCAGTTAAACATTTATTTCTCCAGCATGTAATCCATGCTGTGTTGGAGATGAAGGGGAGACAAATCATTTGAGGAGCAGCCTAGAGAGTGAGGTGGGGCCAAAGCACCACAGAGGTGCTCCCTAAGCAGTTTTAATGAACAGTGTCTATCCCAGAAAAGGGAAGGATTCTCTTTGATTACACAGGCATATTTCATAAAGCAACAGTCTTGCCTCTTCTCTTTCTAATATTATCAATAAAACATTAATCATTATTAAACCTGTCTGAATTAAAAAAAGGATGCTCTGCTAAAATCAACCAACAATTTTCTGGGCCAATTCACAAGTGTTTACCCTTAAAGAAAACATTTTACTGAGATTTCTCTAACTCAGGGAAAACCTCCAAAGGCTCTGCAAGGTTGGAAAATACCTTTGAATATATCACAAACATCCGAGTCAGACTTGAGTAAAATTAACTTTGTCTTCAGCTGCCAACCAAAACAGTCTTGTATTATATTTGTCTCATGTGTGTGCCTTAGCTTCTTTCTGAATAATGTAAAGATGCAAATTTTAAACAACTTGTTTATTAAACATTATTTCAACGCACAAGTCCAAACACCCCACCAAATTTCCTATCCAAATGCAAGCCTATAGGGTCAAGGTTATCCCGTCACAGACACTCATAAATTACCTGCCCAGCTTTCAGCTCATCAAGTAAGGAAATTATTCTCTGATAATCATGGGAAAACACCAGTGACCACAAGGGACTTGTGTCCAATTTACTTAACAGTTTGGACCTTGGCACTGACTAGTTTCATCTATTATTGATAAAGAATTTGCTCGTTATTACAGCCCCTCCAGGTGACATTATACTTTGCATTGCAAAAGTCATTAGACAGTGTCAGAAAAGGTTGACGTGCCTGAAATTACACTGCACCCTTGCCCACTAGAAGTAGGTAATGGTCACACATTTCTTATTAGGAATGTAAAGCAGTGAGCATGCCTAAAGAAGTTTTAGAGTAATCTCATTTTTTAACTTATTTATTCTTTTAGTTGAGGTAACATTAGGATCCTCCTCATCAGGTACCACCCCCACAATCTTATTTTCTAATTTTTTTAAACATATTTTTTAAAGATTTATTTATTTATGCACACAAGAACAGGCCAGAGGTCTGGGGGGTGAGGTCTCTGGATTCACCAGAGACAGAGTGGGGAACAGAACAGGCAAATTGACTGAAATACACTGCTGAGGGGAGCAGCAGGTGAGTCAAGAAAGATCTGCTGTGCCATGTGGGTCACCTCCCTGGTCAGGGATCGAACTTGTGCTGCAGTGGTTGCCGATAGCTTCATAGTGCTGCCTCTTAACACCTTGCGCCACCAGGGAGGCCCCATTTAATCATATTTTTTTTTTAATCAGCATCACATTCCTCCAAATATATAAGATGACTTAAACTCACATAATACCTTCCATGAGTTTTCTTCAGGGCAGCAGAATTCAAATTCCATGCCCTGAAGCAGGAAAAGTTTCATTAACTTCAGTTAGTATTATTTAACCTCTCCTGAATAGATGACTCAGAAAAGACAAAGGCTAAAGTGATAGATTTGACAAAAAAACATAACTGCAAATAAGTCTTCAACATTCTAGTTCGTAAATAAAAATAATTAGTATACTATATATAAATACGGTGGTTTACAGTTTGTTAAGCAATTTACTATATTACTCTATATTTGATTCTCACAACAGCCTACTCAAAATAATATTAGCATGTAATATATACAATGATAATGGAATATTATGGCAGTCAAGCAAAATGATGTTGAACTAATGGCATGGAAATATATTCATATTAACTATAAATTGATAGCTTCAAAATAATGTAAAAAGTTATATACATACACACATATAAAGAAAAGAACTCAGATAACAACCAACTGTAGTTTCTTATATTGTAATTACTATTTTTTTCTCCTATTTACTTTCTGATATTTTTGCAATGAACATATATTACACATGTAATCAGTAAATGACAATCACATTTGATAAAAGGAGTGTTTATCCTGTTTTTTAATAAGAACCTTTCAGTAAACTTCAAAATTTACAGTTTAATTCCAAGAAGAAATGGGACCTTCACTTGAAGTGCTTTTAGAAAAGGCATTTTTTGAAAAATCAGGATTCACTGAATCTTACAGTCATCCATAATCATAGTAATTGATCATGAAATCTATCAAGTGTTATCTTAGCCCAAATCCTCTAGGAAGCAGAATTTCAGTAAGCATAAAGTGCTGATATTTTATTTAGAAGTTGCAAACCCAAGACTGTTTAGGTGAGATGAAAGGGAAGAGAGACAAGGAGAGAAGAGATAAAATGTGATGGTGGGCCACTTCCTGACACCCAGGCCTCAAAATAATCTGCAGAGACACAGCAGGACACACCACACATGGGACTTCCCTTTAACTGGTTCTAAGAAGTAACTACCTTGAAGCGGTCCAAGGAAGGGAAAAAGGAAGAGGGCTTCTGTGTCCAATTACCTATATGCCACCAGTGTCCCTTGATTAAGGCCCCTCAGAGTTCATCAGTCAGCCGCTAAGGAGGCGGGATCCCATGTCTGCGTACCCAAGTGTGGAAGAAAATAGTATTTGGGGTACAAATGCCAGACAGATCCAGGACCTCAAGTTAGACTTCTGAAAGCAAGAGAGCCAGCAAAATTGGCAACATCGGGCCTCCCTGGTGGTGCAGGGGTTAAAAACAGCATTACCAAGCTATCACCAGCCACTGCAGCAAGAGTCAGATCCCCATTTTCAACTTGGTTATAGTCCCCACCCAGCCAGGGAGCACCCCACATGGCGCAGCAGACCTCTCCTGCCTCGCCCATTGCTCCCCTCAGCAGTGTATTTCAGTAGATCTGTCTGTTCTGCTCTCCACTCCTGGTGAATCCTTTCACCACCACCACCCCGCACCTCTGGCTTACACCTCAGTTCTTGTATGCATAAATAAATCTTTTTAAAAAAGTGGCAACATCAGGAAGAAAGTAGGTCCTTTAATAGGAGGTGATTCAATGAAACAAGGCTTGAATATATATATATTGGAAATAGACCTTTTTTAACATCAAATACATAATAGCAATAATGACCAAAAAAAAAAATTCACCAAATATGTAAACATACAATGACTATTAGGGCCTTGTTTTATTCATCTGCTTCACCAACATCAAGCAAACTGTATACAAATGAAATAGACATGTTCTGATTATTGCCAGTACAAGTTTTACTTAAGTCCTAGCACATGAAATATTATTTTACACTTTACCCTCTTACTCAGGAAAGCACAATAGAATGCAAATAGATGAAGCTGTTGTTATTAATGTAGCTAATTAAGTAACTACTTTTTTTTCCAAGGAAATCATTTGCAAACTTTCAATACATTTGAGGTCTTAAAAAATTACTTATAATTTACCTCACAACTGATCAAGACACCATGTATGTAGAAATGCAGATTAAAAACCACCGTGAGGTACTATTTCATACCCACTAGGATGGACAGCATTTAAAAAAGAAAAACAGAAAATGACAAATGTTGGTGAGGATGTAGAGAAGTTGGAATCCTTGTGCATTACTGATGGGAATGATAAATGATACATCTGATATGGAAGATGATACGGCAGTTTCTCAAAAAAAAAAAAGCTAAATATAGATATGCCATATAATCCACAAATCCATTTCTTTGTATATACCCCAAATAATGAAGACTGAGATATGAAGAGATATTTGTACACCTATATTCTTAACAGTACTATTCACAATAGCCAAATGTGGAAGTAACCCATGTGTCCATCAATAGATGAATGGACAAACAAAATATGTTCTATGCATACACAAATGGCGAAAGATTACAGGATTTGAAAAGAAACCAGAGCATGGTACATTTTTTAATAAATGTACCTTCAAATAGTGCTTATACCTCAGATATACTGAGGTACAAATACAATTACAAGTATATATATTAAATAGTATATAATTAAAATTATATTTTAAATTGCACACAATTTAAATTGTATATGTGTACATCATGATGGTTTGACATACATGTATATATTGTGAAATGATTACCACAATCAAGTTAGTTAACATATTAAATTACATTAATATATTCATCACCTCGCATAGGTACCTTTTTGGCTTTGAGGTGAGATAATGGAATATTATTCAGCCATAAAAAGGAGGGAAATTCTGACTCAGGCTATAATATGGATGAAACTTGAGGACATTATGCTAAGTGAAATAAGTGAGTCACAGAAGGACAAATACCTTATGATTCTATTTATATGAGGTAACCTAGAGTCCTCAAATCCACAGAGATGGAAAGCAGAATGGCAATTGTCAAGACAGGAAGTGGAAATAATTATTGTTAGTGGGTATGGAGTTTCAGTTTGAGAAGGTGAATGGCAGTGATGGCTGCACAAAATTGTAAATATATTTAATGAACTTTACACTTAAATTGTACACTGAATTGCATATTTTAAAAGTTAAAATAGAAATTTTGTTATGCATACCTTACCACAATAATGATAATGAAAACTCTCTAATATTAATTAAAAAATACTCTTGACTCACTGTACTTTTTAATTGGCAAGTTCAGTACATTAACATTAGAGTGATTGTTGATACATGCAGGTACGCTATTGTCATTTTGTCTTTAGATTTCTGGTTCAGTCTATTTCCTTCTTTAATTTTTGTGGGCTTTCCTCACTTTGATTTAATAGGTGTACTCCCTCAACATTTCTTGTAGGGGAGGTCTGTGTTTGCAAACTCCTCAGCTTTTGTTTGTCTGGGAAGGTCTTTATTTCTCCCTCATCTGAAAGAGAGACTTGAAAGGTAGCACAATCATGTCTGGCAGTTTTTGACTCTAAGTACATATTGCTTAGTGTTTGACTCTTTAAACATATTACTCCTTTCTCTCCTTGCCTGTAGAGTTTTTGCTAGTAAGACTGTTATAAGCCTAATGGGGTCTGCCAGGGCCTACCACATCAGGGCCACTTGCCAGTTTCACTTTGCTGGTGTTAGGACCTACTAGGACACTGGGGTTGACTCGCCCCCAGAAGCTACATGCTTGGTAGCTTGGAAACGTAGGTCCTTTCCACTATTTGCAGGGACCCCCCCTCCTCTTCCAGGAGTGGCTCTTAGTGCGGCAGCCTCTGCCGCTGAACACCAGTGAACTTACTGGAAAGAGGGAGGCTTTCACTCAGACACATCAGAGTGAGTAAGACCCCTTCCCCTGTGCGCTGGACTGGACAGTCAATGACGGGTAAGATCGGGAGCAGACTAAAGAAGGCACTGGCCAGCCTCATGTCTGTGACTCCTGACGACCTAAGACAGGCGCAGTCCCCGAGGGGCTTCATCATGATAAACTTTGGCGTTCAGATCAAACAAGGTCTACATGCCTATAAGCCTAATTTAGGCAACAAGCCCGCAGTAATTCACCCCTCCTTTGATGGAAACAAGGCTGCTAAGAGCGTCACCTGCAAACAAGCCTGGTGGAATTAGCTACAAAGCAGTTTAACCATTAACCAGATAGACATTGTTTCAGAAATAGTAACAACTTAGCAACCTGCCTATAATCATACTACTTTTTCACTTACTTTGCTTTTTCTTTATATGTGTACAATCAGTTTCAGGAAATGCATGATAAAGAAAATAGTGTGTGGCAATAGTAGTTTTATAATAATCATAATACTTCTCACATGAGACAACACCATAAAAATCAAAATGCTTACGTAGAGAATATATTGCTCGTGATCACTAAAAGTAGAAGGTGCCAGTAGGTAAATATCAATGTTTTTGATCATTGTGGTTTTGGGATACGAATCAAGAAAAGCTAGCTTAAAGAATGCTGTTCGGTGTAAGCAAAAATGATTGTGTAGATTCAGTACCTTGAGATTGTTTACTGTGCCATGTCATGGAACAGCGATCACATGCACATGAATAATGAAGTAGATGTCTTATGCCTTACAAAGTATTTATGCTGAGAAAGAATTAAATTGTATGAAATCATCCATTGTTAAAAAAGGTATAAAAGTGTATGATGATTTTGAGCAAATTACATTCAGATCTTCACTCTTGAAGTGTGTCTGTCTGTCATTTATGTGTCTGTCTGTCATTTATGCGCCGATTCCTTGAGCATCCTCACAGTTTCTCAATCCTAAGACAGTCCTGCAAGTCTACCGCTGCGCTGGTCCGCGGCATCTTAGTGTGTGCCATAATTATCTGTTTCTCCTTCAAGAGTTATTGGTTTTGTTCTTGTACAATCTGACTGTAAGTGTGTGGAGGAGGAGAGTCTGGCATCTTCACTTTGCTGCCCTCTTGTTGCTCATCTGAAAAACATTTTTAAACCCACACTATTAATTTTGTTTATATTGTGGGGTAGAGATGCAGAAGACAGGATGACTTTCATGTCTCACTTTATGCAGCTTCAAAAAATAGTTGAGGGATTGAAGGTGACCCCCCCTTTTTTTTAGTATCTTTCAACTGACAATAAAATTTTCAAATTATTAATAATAATATAACAAATCACATTTTACTAATGAAATAAATACAATTCAGCTCTTTTCACTATGATTCTGGAAATTACCATCATGAAGCAATATTTATTAGCAAGGGTATCAAAGAGAAAAAAACTGAGTAAAGAAAGAATCATGAATAATGAAAACTAATCTCTCCCATTTAATTTTCCCTACATCTGTCTAGATGGAATTACACCTACTAAATATTGACTTTGCTTCTAAGGACTTGAAGGCATGTGACATATTTTATTTGACATAGATCACTACATTTAACCTTTGGGTACGCACAGAGCTAGCATATCTCATTCAGTGACACAGAAGAAAGTGATGCATAAAGAGGTAAAGTGATGAATCTGGGCTCAATTGTCACATAGTAATTACCTTAGAGATCCCTTTGCCACCAATGAGGACTGGGTGACTGGGTTTGTAGTGGCTGCTTTACAATCAGTTTGTCCTCCTACCAAAAGAGAAGTTTTTTTTCTTTTATGAAACAGGATTGCAAAGGATTCCCTTTTTTCCCCACACAAACCCCCAATTATAATGGTTTCCTTCCATTATAATATAGGTCACAAACCTCAGTAATACTAGCAGTATTCACAAATTTGTCACTAATAGAAATTCTCATGTATTCCTTCTTTAATTTTCATAGATGATTCCTTGCCATATTATGTATACACATAAAACTTCAAAATCACAGCAGTTGTTGCACAAATCCTATATTGTATAACTGGATTTCAATAAAATTTATTTTATTTGTAATCCTATATATTTCATAGTATGCATTCAAAATTCTGGCTGCCAAAAGAATCTAGGATGTGCGCACATGCACACACACACACAACCCCACAACAGATCAAAAACTTCTGCATAAAGTATCTCAAATACTGGGCATCTGTAGGAGCCTATGAACATCTTCCTTAAAGACATTAAGGAAAATATCCTTGGGCCTCCCCGGTGGTGCAGCGGTTGAGCACTGGGTTGCGAAGCTGCCTGCGGCCTCTGCGGCACCGGTTCGATCCCCGGCTGCTCCCCTGCCACCGGAGGAGGGTCCCACATGGTGCGCAGACCTCTCCTGCCGCCCGCTGCTCCCCTCAGCAGTGTACTTCGGTCCTTCTGCCTGCTCTGCTCCCCGCTCTGGCTCTGGTGAATTCTCTCACCCTCCCGCGCTTCTGACTGTACCCAGTACATGTATAAACAAAACAAACAAACAAACAAATAAATAAATAAAACATGCCTCTATAAATAAAAAAAATAAAAAATTAAAAAAATTAAAAAATTAAAAAAAAAAAAGAAAAATATCCTTGGTTCAGATCTACCCTGATGTATTAGCAAGAAACATCAGGCTCATTGTTTGGGAGTACATTTTTGTCTCCTATTACAATATAAACAATCACAAATCAATTTTCAAATGCCCATTTGGTGCTTTTCTCCCCCCAGGGGTCTCTCAAGAGAACCCTCCACTTCCACTACTATCGGGAAGCATCATATATGGCCTGAGTAAGACACAAAGCAACTGCCTTTCTCCAACATAATCACAGACTCTACAGCTCTACAATAGTTTACAGTCAACATTCCAAGCATCATCAGTGAAACTAGAAGCCATATCAAAAGGTTAAAACCTATCAATGTTTCCTCTTTAACTGTTGATCAACTCCTTAGCTAGAGAAAAAATTATTATTGTTCCTTCCAGTACATCAATTGGCTGTCACTTTTGGCATTTTCCTATGGGCATTAATGTCAACAGAACTGCTTTTGAATCCCAGCTCTTCTGCTATCTGCTGTTGAGTAACCTCAAGCAGATATCCTCCTGAGCTTTGGATTGTTTAACAGCTCTCACAGGGTTTTTTCACTCTTTGTTTCATGCACTCATTAATTAGTAAATGCTCTTTCAGCATGTGCTACAGCTGCCCCTACCACAATCCTGAACAAATAATGCAAAATTGGAAGGAACTGGGAAAACTCAGTGTCAGGATGTATAAATACTTTCAAGACAAAACTAATGGTTCAAATAGTGGGTCCATCTTGTTAGAGTTCAGAAATCAGTATCGAACAGATGTGGTTTTCCAGCACAGGGCAGGTAGGGAGGAAGGGAATTAAGGATACCACTCAGACATCTCAATCCTATATACTTAAAGTCAGAAAAGGAATATGGGCTGGGCGCAATGGAAAAAAATATCAGTGGTTAAAACAAAAGTCCATAAGGAAGTCCAAGAGAATACTAGATGAGGGCATTGGTCACATGGGTAGGGTATAGCAACTGTAAATCCAGGGTCAAGAGATTCCAGAAGGCAAAGAAGAACCTATGGGGCCTCCCCTGGTGGCGCAGGTGGTGTGAAGCGCCACGCTGTGAAGCTGTCCACAGCCTCTGCAGCGCCGGTTCGATCCCCAGCCGCTGGCAAGGGTCCCACATGGCAATGCAGACCTCTCCTGTCATGCCCGCTGCTCCCTTCAGCAGTGTATTTCTTCAGTCTGCCTGTTGTGTTCCCTGCTCTATCTCTGGTGAATCCTCTCACCCTCCCGCACATCTGGCCTGTACCCCAGTTCTTGTATAAATAAAATAAATAAATCTTTAAAAAATATATTAAAGAAGAACCTATGTTTGCTGTCCTGGAAATAGAGGCAGGGTTCTGACTCTTGAAAGAAGGTTTGGCAAGAACAAGTCAAGTCAGTGGGCACCAGAACTGACATCAGGACAGGTCATTGGTGCACACAGGGATGGAGAGGACGTGGCACAGGAAGAATGTAAGAGCCAGTGGGTGACTGGAGTGTGAAACTCAGGTTGACTGACAACAGAGTCAGGGAGTGAGACAGAAGCCTTCAAGTGCACCAAACTTCAACTTTAGGAAATGACTAAGCAAGGAGTGAGGGACTTGAGACCACATGTGTCCTGCTCAGTGAAGACTAGCTCTGAACGTAGGTTGGATGATGTTGACAAACAGAAGGCTTCAGTGGTACCAGAAAAGGTATAGGAGATGACTTCATAAGACAAAACCAGATGTTCTGTGTGTTTTACCCTGCCTAAAGACATGTTTCTCTAATTAAAGGCTAATTCTAGAGATGACCCAAATCTAAGAATCTGATAACTGTGTCTCCCAAGACCCATAGGACTACAGTTCACACGTATTGGTGAAAAGCCTGCTCTGGACATCTTGGACAAAACTTATCTGAACATTTGTGGGAAAGCCAGTCCTATAAAACTAAGAAAACACAAGTATTATCAGCAAGCCACCAGAAACTAGAAAGAGGCAAGTAAAGATTGCCCTACAGATTCAGAGGGAGCATATAATAGTCCTAATGACACCTTAATTTCAGACTTCCAGATTCCTGCAACATGTCAATTTCTGTTGTTTTTAGTCATCAGTTTGTAGAAGTTTGTTATGACAGCCTTAGGTAACTAACACAGTTATCTTTGCTTCTTATTGGTAATGTTCACATCAATGTGAGATTCTTGGTGAACTTTTCCTTGAAAATACCTTGTTTATTCAACTAATGTAACTGGAGTGATAAAGAACCAGCCTCACACAAAATATGCAATAGGTTAGTATTTCAGTATGTTTAATAAAAGGTCCCTCTCACGAGGATTGCCAGGTGAAATGGAAGATCTCTCATTAAATTTGAATTTCAGAAAACAGAAATAATTACTTGTTCCTTTATTGAGGCACCATTGGCTTACAACACTTTATATTTATAAGGTATAAGTTCTCATCTCCAGATAAGCCATTGTGCCCCCTCCTCCTTTGTTCCCACCTCTTCTTTCCCTCCCCTTCTAGTAGCCTCAAATATTCAGTCATATTTCTAGGGTTTATTTTATTTTGGTTCTGTTATTTCCTTTGGTTTTGGTTTTCATTTTGGTTTGGTTTGGTTTGATTTGGCTTGGTTTCTCTATATTCCACATATAAGTGAAATCATCCAGTATTTGTATTTCTCCTTCTGACTTATTTCACTTAACATAATCACCTCCAGTTCCATCCATGTTGTCACAAATGGCAAGAATTCATTTTTTATAGCTGACTAATATTCCATCCCTTATTCACCACATCTGCTCTGTTATTGGGCACTTAGGTTGTTTCTATAATTTGTTTATTGTAAATAGTGTTGCAGTAAACATAGGAGTGCATCACTTTGAATTGATGATTTTGCATTCTTTAGGTAGATCCAGTGGAATTGCTAGATCACAGGGCAAAATTTTTTTAATTTTTGAGAAAACTCCAAATTGTTTTCCATAACTGCTGAACCAATCTGAATTCCCACCAACAGTGTATGCATTCCTTTTTTCTCCACATCCTCCCAAAATTTGATGTTTCAGGTTTTTGTTATGGCCATTTTCATGGGCATGAGATTGTATCTCATTATGGATTTGATTTTCATTTCCCTGATGATGAGTATTATTGAACATTATTTCATGTGCCTGTTAGCAATCTGTATGTCTTCTTTGGAGAAGTGTCTAGTTAAGTCTTCTGCCCATTTTTTTATTGCGTTATCCATTTTCTTTTTGTTGAGTTGTGTAAGTTCTTTGTAGATCTTAGAATAGATTCTTGTCAGATGTATGATGTACAAATATTTTCTCACATTCAGTTGGGTGTCACTTTAAGATAGTTTCTTTTGGGCCTCCCTGGTGGCCCACAGGTTAAAGTGCAAGCACTATCAAGTTATTGCTAGTCACTGCAGCAGACCTCTCCTGTCTTGCCCACTGCTCCCCTCAACAGTGTATTTCAGTAGATCTGCCTATTCTGCTCTCCACTGAGTCTCTGGTGAATCCTCTCAACCCCTCCCTGCCCACACTTCTGGCCTACACCCTAGTTCTTATATGCATAAAGAAATAAAATAAATATTTTTAAAAAGGTAGTTTATTTCACTGTATAGCAGCTTTTTTAGCTTGATGTACTCCTATTCATTTATTTTTGTTTTTATTTTCCTTGCTGTTGGAGTCAAGTTCCCAAAGACATACCTAAAGCCAATGTTGTAAAATGTTTTGTCTATGTTTTCTTCTATGTATTTTATAGTTTCCAGTCTAACATCTCAATCTTTAATCCATTTTGAGTTAATTTTTGTATATGGTGTGAAAAGTCTAGTTTCATTTTTCTGCATGTGGCTGTCCTGTTTCCCCAGCACCATCTGTTGAAGAGACTTTCCTTTCTCCATTGTCTACTCTTGGCTCCTTCACAGCATTGAATAGCTTTTTTTAGTTAAGTATGCTTATGCATTACTTCAAACATATTCACTACAATTATTCATTGCTTATCTGAAACTTAAATTTAACTGGTTGTTCTGTTAAGTCTGTCAGTCATACATCCCACCTTATAGATACCAGGCTGCTTCTGGAATATTCCAATATTTGCAGTTTGTTTCTACTCCTTGAGCCAACAGGACAAAGTACCATATATTGAATACTATATAACCTATTCTTCCTTTTCACTTTCAAGTAGCTCCAGTATAATTTATGGGCATTGTTAACAA